TGATCCCATTTATTAACCCATCTCTGAGAGGGGTGGGGGTGCATGCAAGTGGCACCTTCTGCCTTCAGGCTTGCTGTTTCCCAGCCTGGTGCCTCAACCCAGCCATCTGACCTACAGGCTCTTGCAAGATACTGGCCTTAGTGCTGCTTTTGTAAAGTTAGCTGAGCAACAAGGCTGTCTTTTATTTGGGGTGAGGATGGGGATACTATGTCATAGCTGTGGATTATTTTGATTGATTTTTTTTCCAAGCATATCTAGGAAGATGCAGTGAATGTAGTGACAAAACCAATATATTTTTGAAGGTTGCATATTTCCAGAGTAAAGTGTTTAAGGACATGCTGCCAGGCAAAACGTTTCATCAGCCAAAATTCCATCTTACCACACTGAGCAAATGTGACCCAAATTAAACTGGTAGATAGCCGGGTCCAAAGAAACAGAAGTCATAAAGAAGCTGTGACACTCTGCAGCAGGATGTTGCTGAAAACTTATAGGACTTCAAAAACCAACCTAATTCGTGAATGAAAAATCCACCAAAAGTTATTAATCAAAAAAATACCACCTATTGCTCCAAAATCTGTTGCAAATTGCTGCAGGGTGGGAGTATATATGGGGGCAGTATTGCTGTAGAATTTCCCTGGGTTTATATTCTTCAGTAGGCACCTGCCACCAGCCACTATCAGATGCCAGCTACTGAGCTCAATGGACTTTTGATCTGACAGGATACAGGCACCTTAAGTTGTTTGTCCTTCCATGTTGGTCACTGTCATTCTGTTCATGTTGTTATCGAATTTGCTTTCTGCTAAGTCTACAAGTCTCTATCCCTTTCAATGAGGCTCAAGTGACCTGCCCTTGTATAGTTATTTAACTTACTATGGAGAGTCAGTACTCACCTGGGAAGCCTGGGCAAGTTTCCTCATCATTTATTTGTGGGGGAAAAAAGCATATTAAAATTTAAAAAAGAATAATCACACAATTCCCTAAAGAAGTACAGTATGACAGTTAAAGTCTGGCTGAATATATTTGTCATTACTTACTATAAGAGTTGTGCATTGTGATCAAATGTGGAGGCAGCCAAACTCAAGGGTTTTTAAAAATAGAAATACCTAAATACATAGTCACTATACAATTTGTTCACAAGCAGGGAAAGACCCACCATTTTCCCTTCTCTCAATCACAGAAACAGGGAAACAATTTAAAGCTGTATGTCTATATCAGACTTCTCTCTTAAAAATGGCACTTCTGCTAACTCTAATGAAAATGTATACAGTGGTAGCAACTGTGAGAAAGCTGAGTTAGGTTGTGTACAACAAGTTTTAGTCAGTGTTTTAGTCAGCTTTTCCCAGTGATAGAGCCCAGTTAGGGAAGACAACTTGCTGGTAAAGCATCCCTGAACATCAAGGCTGTTGCTCCCATTTCTCTGGCATTTACCAGAGTGATCAGTTATGTACTGCATGCAGACTCATGGGCATGTAATTTTTATATTAAAATAATTTAGATAATTTAGTGTATTTTCAGGCTTCAATTAGAGAAAGAATAAAGATGGTTCTGATGAAAGACCTTTAGTAAGTAGATGCTATTTCACTTAACTTACTTAAAAGAATCACTTTCAGCACCAGCTAAATGCCATTCTTTACTCTTCTGTCATGAACAAAAATCCAGACCTTGAGAGCTAGAGATCCAAGGTGTGCTGTTTCTGCTGAACTGAGAATTATGGCAAAGTATGTCACACTATTTTGTTTCTCTTTCTTCTTTTACTAACTCTATTTTTTTTCTCTTCCTGATGTATCTTCTAGGAATATTTGTTCTCTGAAGGCAACTCTCATATAGCTTGTAAAACATGGCATATATGGGCCATTTTAACTATGCCAGAGAAAAAAATATGTATTAAGACTTACAGAAAGTATTTAGACAACATTGAGAAAAGTGATAAACGTTACCAATTATGTCAGAGTGAACAGCTTAAAGGTTGCAGAATTTTCCAAGAGTTTTGCAATTATTTTTTTAAGAGTTAGGCCACCATAATTATCTTAAACTGGCACTTCTTAACAACTGTTGTGGTTTAGGAATGGTGCTCCCCTATTTAATGCCCCCACCAAGACTCTACCAAACCACTCATCGCTTGCTCACTCCCCTCTTCCCCTCTCTCTTCCCACTCTGGCGGGATGGAGTTGAGAACTGGAGGAACTAAAGGTAAAGATCGTGGTTGAGGTAAGAACAGTTTACTAGAAACAGCAATGAGATAAGAAAATTAATAACAACAGTAACAATACTACTAACAAAAGTATACAAAAGAGAGAGTGATTCATGTGCAAAAACCCCAGACCCTGAGACAATGAACAATGGCCGACAAAGCCTCTGTATTTTTCAACTGGAATCCACATCCTTCTTCTCAGAGGTGGGAAAAGTCCTTTTCCCCCACCTCATGTCATTGCCAGGGATGACATGAGGTGGTATAGAATAAACTCCAGGTCCTGGCCTAAACTAGGACAATGACCTGTTCAAACACTGCGCTCTTGTATTTCTTCTCTACTGTATGTACAGAAGACTGTATGTAGTACCCAGAGAGAGTGAGCCTTCACAGTGCTGTTGTGGAGCGTAAGGAGTTTTCCCTAGCATGAATTGGGAACTGTTACATTATTCATGAATAGAAAAGCCATGAAGAAGTTATGCTGGGGACTAATTAGGATTTCTGTTTGTGTCTTAGTCAACTCGGCATCACAGGAGAGAAAACTTTAGATAAATTGAACTAATTGACAATCCAAGGTTCAATATATGCTCAAATCAAGCACGTGCTATCCAGCTGTTTTAGACCATGTGGAATAGGGACTGCTTTCTTCATTTTTAAAAGTGATCCTTTCAGACATCAGGCTTCAGGATGGCAGGCTTTTGGCTTCTGTGTGCCAGAACGGAAGGAACTGCCTGGCAAGGGTCTCTTCCATTCAGTGATACATGGCAGTGGTATTGGGAATCCTGAGAGCAAAGAAGGGAACTGCACCTTGAAGGTGACTATCTTTTCCAGCCACCTTTTACCTTCCCTGCTTGTCTCGGGCTATTCATGCAATATCTGAACCCCTGCCTTACTAGGCTTATTTGCATAAGATATTAAGTGTTGTTTTGGAGAAATATTGTATTTGGAGTAATAAAATGAAGGATATGCCACCCAAAATTAATAACATAGGGATGGGTAAAAGCGAACATGAGTCTGTAAAATGACTAGCTCTTTTAACGTGTGAGGTATGACTGGTCTAGCACAAGGATGTCAAGTGGTAGATTCAAAGCAATATAGTTTGTGAAAGCAAGGTAGATACTGCTTTCTGACACCTTGATGTGATGGTCCATTCCTGAAGCCCTCCTGTGGGAGAGCTAAGACCACAAATAACTAGAGTTTTGAGGATGTGGATTTGAAATTATCTCTCTTACACACATAGAAGACATTTCTGGGGAGCATTGAGGTTTCAGAAAACCAAACAAAACTTCACACATCAGTTTGCACTTTCTGGTTTTGCTTTGTTTTATGGTAACCTGCTTTTTCTGTCTTCCCCCTTAAAATTTTTTCTTTCTCCTTGAAGGTTTGCTCTACTTCCCTCAGTCCTTTTAATGAACTTAGTAGTGGGGAAAAGCTCTGCCCTGGTACAGGAATCCTGAGAATACAGAGAAAAGTTGCATGCCATTATAAGGGGAATAGAGCAGGTCAGCTTACATCATCAGAGGCCTTGTGACTTTATATTCAAAAAGAAGTGTGCTCTAAGCACCTATTATTAGTCTTTCTTCAACCACGCTTCTAACTTCAAATAAATTTTAGGAACTCATTCTCTTACAGGAAGGTTTTCTTTAAGGATCTTGGAGGCAATGAGTTTTTCTGTGCAAATACTGTTTCATATAATAAACTTTACTGTGCCAGTGAATAGATATGAAATAGTTAAATAACAGAATAAATCTCCTCAGTTTTATGAATGCACTTAGTTTCTGCCTACTTTCTCCAAAATATGCTAGGACAAATTCTGAAATCTGTAACACTCAGGTCCTCTCTAGACAAAATAGTAATTGAAATTAATGAGAGCATGACTCAAGGGAAAACTTAAAATCTGGGAATTATAATGCATGCCCTTTAAAACATTAAACAATAGGAGTTTCAGACAGGGAAATAGAAACTTTTCAAAACCTTCTATATCACACTTTCAGAAGTGACTTTTCATACTAGAGAACTTGAGTCCCACAGAAAGAAAATTAAACACAGCTCATGGAACATCCTAATGCCAGCTATGGAGCTTGGTTTCCCAACTTATTTTAGAAGCTGTAGAAATGTTTTGTTTAGCCTGTACTGAAGAAATGAAAATGTTTGAGTTTGCCACTTCAATATGTAACAAACAAATAATGTGGCTAAAAATGTTCTGTCACTTTCTCTATTTTTGGGCAAGTCTGTGTGATCTCAGTAGTTTTAAGTTAAAGATGTAAGGCTTAAAGAAACATTTGAGTGTGTAAGAAACATTTTTCTTACAATTTTCTGTCCTATTATACCAAACGACTGGCCTTTTGAAATTTTGACCTCCAAATCTATAAAAAATATAAGGAAAAAAAATTATATTTGTTACTTCTACCTCAAGAGTCATAAAATTCTGGGAATGGTAAACACAAAATTTTTTGTTTTGGTTGAAAATGAAAGTAAGGTACAATATACCTGCAGTTTTAGATTAAAAATATATTTCAATTTTATCAGGATACACGAATGCCTCAGAACAAGTTGTACCGGACCAGAAAGGCTCAACTAATTTTAATTTTATTGTGTAAAGCAGTTGCCTCAGAGAACTTTTCTTTTCCCAAGGTTTCAGAAACTTTTGCATGTTTCAGAGCTTCTGAAGTAAATTTGAAAGCAGGATTTTAGATGACTTTCCACCTCAGAGATCTTCCACTATTACAAGAAACTAGCGTCCAGGAAAAGTTTCTCTCTCTAATGAAGATTATTTTTTCTTCTTCTTTCCCACTTCCCATTTCCTATCAAGTCGGAAGTGTCTTGGATCCCCAACAAACACTACTCTGGGATTTACGGGCTGATGAAGTTGGTTCTGACTAAGACTCTACCTTCTAATCTTGAGCGAGTCATTGTCCTCGACACAGACATTACATTTGCCACTGACATTGCTGAGCTATGGGCCGTCTTTCACAAGTTCAAAGGTATTTTAATGATTTTTTTGCTGTCCTTGTTTGAAGGGGGAGGGAGAATGTTAAAGCAAACAATACAGTGGGGGTGAAAGGGCTATCTAAGATTTGTTAAATGTTTTCACTCTTTTAGTTTTTGGTGTTTCAATATAATTGTTCTCTTTGTGAGCTCTTTTCTCAATGATGTTCAGTATAGAATGATTGACAACGCTGATTATCTATGTAGTTGGTTTTATTGGTCTGATTATTTGGGACAGGTGAGAGCTTGACAATACAGTAGGTGATAAAGAATTATGAGCATGCTCTAGTGATGTGCTATTCAAATACCTCTTGGTATTTGAATTTCCAAGTATTCTATACTTGGAAGAGCTTGGGGTTTATTATTTTTTTTATTAATAAAAAATATTTATTACTTTCAGTAGAACTTTTCCATATTACCTCTGAAAGTGAATGAAGTTCGGATCATTCTTGAACCAGGGAGGAGGATGAAGGGAGCAGAGTAACACATGTGAATAGAAATGAGTTCCTACCTGCTCCTCTTAATGCGTTGATAAAGGGTTCTGGATTCTAAGTATCCACCTAAAATAGTTTTCTTCACCTATCTCCATGTCCCACAGCTCCTTGGAAATGCACCTCATACTTTTACCAAGAAAGGAGACTTTCAGAGTAACTCTGTAAGGAGATGATCACAAAAAAGTTCCCCACTACCCTGTCACAAACCAAAGCACTTTCCTAGGTGGCACACTGCTAAACCCATATAATTCTCACAGGTCCCAGTGTTCCATGCTGTTCAGAGTCAGAGAGATACCCTACTGTTTCTTCTTGCCCTCAAAATATGTACTGCATGGTACACACAGAGGCATTCCAGCATGCTGGTTTGAAGGTTTACAACGCACTAAAATTTTAACCTTGATGCATTTTGTCAGCTCTCTCAAAATCATCTCAAGAAAAGTCAGCCTAAGCAAATGGGAGTATTCATTTACATAAGCCATTTACTGTACTTATCCCCTCCTAAAATCCACAAGGCCTCTTTACCGTTCCCAGTACCCAGCTAAGGGGCAAGACCTATTATCTTCAGCTCTACAGTCAAGGACAGGGTTCTAGTGCTTATTCCTCCATGCATTTGATTCCTTTCTCTTCTGTGGATACACTGATGTCCTTTCAGCAGGCCAGAAGCAATCACCTTTTTACTTAACTGAATTATTCACAAGCTTTCTTCATTAAGGAATATCAGGTTTTTCCTCCTCTTCAGGTACTGTTCAGACCTCTTCACCAAACCTTTCCCTCCACTGAACCTTGAGTCTCATGTAAACATATACCTTAACAACCACGAGTAACATCAATTTATGCTTAAGAAGTAATGCTGCGCTATTGTACTGTCTCACTGTGTGCTGCTGTCCCATTAATAGCAATATTTTACTGAATATAGTGTATAAGCATGATGCACCATGTAAAGAAATGTGTATAAACTGAACTTGGGCATAGAGGACTGCATGGTCAAAGAGAGCAAAATCTGAATTGAGACTATGAGAGGGATCATCTTGCTTATATTTTCTGCCATAATTTCAATTAAGATCCCTTGCTTTTTTACTGGGTGAATGAAACCAAGTATAAAGTCCACTTGTAAGGAAAGAAACATGGAGCAGAAGCCGACAAAAGATTGAAAGAAAATACAGACAGAAAATACGGAAACGTGGAGAAGAATAGTTAATGGAAACAAAAAAGTAGGTGGAAGTCAGGCTCCATAGAGCTAGGCAAGAATGGTCATCTGATTAGAGCTGTGAAAAGCTCTAACTTACACACAGAGACAGAATTCCTGTGCTACTGCCAGCTCTCATAACATACATAGCACAACTCCCTATGATTTTGTAAATCGTCCAGTGTGTCCTTTTAATTCCAGCTGACTGCCTGCTCCTCCACAATTTTCTAATCCTGGCAATAAATTGGTCAGTGTCTACATCTGCTCATCTCCCAGACACAAAGAAAGAATTGATGGGACAATCCCATAGCACTAGGTGTTGAGCCAGGGTGGGAGAGGACTTTGGATCCTAAATGTTGGGGAGAAGAGAGAAATTAAAGTGTCCAAGCACAGGCTTGTTCTCCAGCCTGTGTCATAGGCTGCAGTTCTATTACCAAAGATGACCTTGATGACAATGACAGTGGAGTTGAGTGTTTGTAGGTAAGAATCAGAGGGAAAGCCAACAAGGCAGATATCATGGTGGGAGTCTGTTATAGACCACCCAACCAGAATGAAGAGGCAGAAGAAATATTTTATAAGCAGCTGGGAGAAGTCTCACAATCACTAGCTCTTGTTCTCGTGGGGGACTTGAACTTACTAGATGTCTGCTGGAAATACAACACAGGGGATAGGAAACAGTCCAGGAAGTTCCTGGAGTGTGTGGAAGATAATTTCCTGACACAACTGGTGAAGGAGGCAATCAGGGGAGGTGCCCCTTTGAATCAGTCAGCAGTCCTGGCTAACCAGGGAGGTCCCAGTGGACTGGAGGTTAACAAATGTGATGCCTGTCTACAAGAAGGGCCTAGAAGGAGGATCCAAGGAATTACAGGCCTCTCAGCCTGACCTCAGTGCCAGGGAAGGTCATGGAGCAGCTCACCTTGAGTGCTATCATGTGGCACATGCAGGACAACCGGGGGATTAGCCTTGTCGGCATAAGTTTGTGAAAAGCAGGTCCTGCTTGACCAACCTTATTTCCTTCTATGATAAGGTGACCTGCTTAGTGGATGAGGGAGAGGCTGTGATTGTTGTATACCTAAACTTTAGTAAAGTCTTTGACACTGTCTCCCACAGTAATCTCCTGGAGAAACTGGCTTCTCATGGCTTGGACAGGTGCACTGTTCTCTGGGTAAAAAAGAGGCCGGATGGCCAGGCCCAGTGAGTGGTGGGGAGTGGAGCTAAATACATCTGGCAGCCAATGACTAGTGGTGTCTCTCAGGGCTCAGTATCGGGGCCAATTTGGTTTAATATCTTTACAATTATCTGGATGAAAGGATCAAGTGCGCACTCAGTCAGTTTGCAGAGGACATCAAGATGAGTGGGAGTCTTGATCTGCTGGAGAGCAGGAGAGTTTTGCAGAAGGATCTGGACAGGCTGTATTGATGAGCAGAGACCAGTTCTGTGAGTTTCAACAAGGCAAAGTGCCGGGTCCTTCACTTGGGTCACAGCAACCCTTTGCAGTGCTACAGGCTTGGGGCAGAGTGGTTGGAAAACTGCCAAGTGTAAAAGGACCTGGGGGTGCTGGTTGACAGCAGCAGAACATGAGCCAGCAGTGTGCCTAGGTGGCCAAGAAGGCCAATGACATCCTGACCTGTGTCAGAAATAGCATGGCTAACAAGACTAGGGAAGTGATTCTCCCACTGTACGTGGCACTGGTGAGGCTGCAACTCAAGTGCGTTGTTCAGTTTTGGACCCCTCACTACAAGAAGGACATTGAGGTGCTGGAATGTGTCCACAGAAGGGCAACAGAGCTGATAAAGGGTCTAGAGCCCAAGTCCTATGAGGAACAGCTGAGGAAGCTGGGGTTGTTTAACCTGGAGAAAAGGAGGCTCAGGGGAGTCCTTATCATTGTCTACAACTACCTGAAAGGAGGCTGTAGCCAGGTAGGGGTCAGTCTGTTCTCCCAAGTAACAAGCAATAGGATAAGAATGATCTCAACTTTCACCAGGGGAGGTTTAGATTGAGTATTAGGAAAAATTTCTTCATGGAAAGGGTTGTCAAGCATTGGAAGAGGCTGCCCAGGAAGTGATGGTGTCACATCCCTGGGGCTATTTGAAAGTTGTGTAGATATGGCACCTGGGTATAACAGTATACTTGGCAGTGTAAGTTGGACATAAAGGTCCTTTTCAGTCTAAATGATTGTATCATTCTATGATTCAATGGAAATGAAAGCAAGGACAAGTAAGTTGGAGAGATACTGATACCCTTTTACTGCTTGTAAAAGTTTGTTGTAAATTATATGGTGATTCGCAATTTTTCCTAGGTTCTCTTTATTTCTCCTTCCAGCGTTACAAAAGATGCAAAAATTGTCTCAAGTCACTAGCCCCAATTATTCCTCTGAAGGATTTTTTTCTAAACTAATGTTTTAATCTCTTCCTTGTTTCTATCTCAGAAGTCCTAGGTAAGTTTATGAAAATTTCTTTAGGACAATCTAGTATGTTTGTTGAAACATTGCATAAACAGAAGAGTAATAAGACTCCTATGAAGGGAAAGGCTACTCTCCAAAGGAACCTGACACTGTGCCCAGCCCCAGCTTGGAGGGCAGCTTTAGACTCACTGGGTCTCCTTCTAGAAATGTTCAAAAACCCAGTTGATGGCTAGAAGCTGCCATTATAAACCTGCTTACACCAGGATGCTTTTTGAGCAAACAGAAGAATTTTTCACATCAGTGCAGAAAAGGCAAGAGCTTCTGTCTGCGGGTTGCTGCAGGATAACTGATGAGGCAGTCCAGCACAGCCTTTTCCAAATTGCAGCCACACATATAGAAAAGGTCCTAGAGTGTGTGATTCTTTCTGTCCCCAGGAAGACTTTTCTTCCCAACAAAAATAGTGACAAAGGGAGACAAAGAGCTCAGATTCCTTTTTTCTAGGACACTGTGCTTGGAAGAAACTCAGATTCAGGACTGTCTTGAAGTTTAACCAGGTCCAATTTGCTGTGTAGAAAGCCCTACAATATGTTTTAAATAGCACCTGCAACGCCCAGAATCCTTGTTTTGCAAAGATTCTTCTTCCAGTCATCTTAAGAGTTGCTGGAAAGATCAGACCCTTACACAGCAACATAATATTTTTGGTGGTAAAGGTACTACTACCTTTGCTCTGTAGATGGAAAAAAGGAAGTAGGATTTCTTTGTAAATTATTGCTCTTCTGCCATTTTCTGATACGCTCTTGCATACATCCTTACAATATATGATCTAACTGTTCTGTAGCTGAGTGAAAAAATTTGAAAATCTCTTCTTTGAAGTGGCAACCTTAGGCTTTGGGAGAAATTCACACCTCTCTT